TGGGACACGTCTTAAAAACAACACATTCATTTTAAGAGTGATGAAACAGAGAGAGCCCATCAGTGTCAAGAGTAAAAAGCTTGACATGGACACAGAAATAACATGAAAAATAAAAGATAAACTATGCCAGGAGCAAATCCTGATGGGGAGCATCAGCATCTAGTACAATTACTACTCTACATCATCGTCATCTTCTTCTTCTTCTTCTGGCTCTTTAATGAATAACAACACTGAAAAACTGAAATAGTTAAGAATAAAAATACTCTCACCATAGGGAAAGCTTTTACCCAGCATGGAAGAATAAATACAACAAAACATCATCTGTTTCATTAGATCCATCCAACCTTTTACCGAAGTGCCTTTTTTTGTTTGTTTTGTTCACTTGGGAAAGAAAAGAAATAAAAAAATCAGGCTAATAGTTGCCCGCTTCTAGTGAGAACTTTATTTTGGTAATTATACATTCAAAATGTGATCAAAATGAACCAATTATTTCCAGGCACTTTACAGATTTGGGCCAAAAACTGTTCTGAAAACAGAAATAACTACGACTTTGTGTGGCTGCTCACTATGCAAAGGCCTTGTTTCAGTGCTCTACCAGTGAAGCAATCAATTAAAATATGAATTTTCACACTTTAAAGTACTTCAGGTGAGGTGAGGGATGACCACATGTTTAAAGTCATCTCACACACTGAAGCGAGGCCTTTGCAGAGCGGCGTGTCTGCACCTTTTCCATTTAGCAGCGAGGAAAATGTGTTAGTGAACCCTTCAATGCCACTTGAACGTCGCTTTCCCTTTTGTGACTTTTCTGAAAACAGATTCTGTAAACATTTCAACGCTTTTGCTTTTTTGGGGGAGGGAGGAGTCAGCTAGACAGATGACTGCATTAAAAAAAAGAAAGAAAAACAAAAACAAAATAAAAAGATGGATCCATCCATCTTGGAAATCCCATGATCCTTCCCTGCACGTGTAAACCTCTGCCCGCCTACATTCACCAGTGCAGTATTTGGTTCAGAGATATGAAGAATTTGATAAAATAGACTTTTAAGACTAATTTGGCACTTTTCTCAACAAATGGAAATTGAAGAAGGACCCACCACAGAGTCTCATTCAACAAACCAATATTTATATATTTATATATATCTATATATACTGTATATATAGTTTCTTTTGTTGCCGTGTGATCTGTAAGTCGCACAGCATGCCTTCATTTCAGTATTAATACTACAGAGCAGCGATAAAATCTCAAGCGTTTGGGCAGAGTGTTTTTTTCCCTCACACTCAAGCACAAAAGGACAACAGCTTTACATTTCTGCCTTCAAGCTGATCTTTTCATCCGTGAAAGTGTACACAGGCGCTCAGAGTTTTGAGACTGAACGCAGCTTGTTAGCGCTGACCCTGTGACCTTTACGAGTTAAGCAATTGAGGCCTTCAGAAGCATGTTTAAAAAAAAAAAATCCCCCTATAATTACGTTAAATCTTTTCAAACAACACCAGCTACAGGTGATGCAACTTGAATTCCTCTTTTTGCTCATTTTTAGACTACGAAACAAGTGACATTTAACAATTACACATGAAGAAGCCCATTTCTAACCCTCATCGTACCTGCTAATCTCAACCCTAACCCTCTACAGAAAACTGTCAATACAGGCTAACACCTTCATGTTTGCAGGTGAGATGTTACTCTGACACCAGCCTTTGTGGTCAGATGTAAAAAAATGACTATAATGCCAAAACTTGGAAGAACAATTGATCCAGATGGCTGCCCCTCCCTCAGCCTGGATCTAGCAGAAGTCTTCCTGTTAAAAGGGAGTTTGTCCTTCCCGCTGTCGCCAAGTGCTCGCTCTGATTGTTGGGGTTTTCTCTGTATTATTGTACTTTCTTCACCTTACAATATAAAGCGCCTCGAGAAGACTGTTGTGATTTGGTGATTACATAAATTGAACTGAAATAATAGAAGCAAACACATGAATCTTTTCATGGCCTGAACAGTAAAACAGTTCAAACAGGAGGATTTTTTTTTCCCTTACAAAGGGTCTGAAGGCTTCTTATGATTCACAGCTAGTCATTGTTGTTGATGTTCAATATGTGTTTAAGTACTAGAAGGTCTCCCCGGTACGCATCTCCTGCTTTTTCTTGCCCAGCAAGAGTTAATCGTCGCTTTGATACGGCAAACGCTAACTTTTCTAAACCAGAACTCAGAACTCATTGGAAACATCCGGCTCTCCTCAGCAGGAGCCTTCAGCCTTCGTGAGTCCTCCTCCGGCAGTCAAATCGCACTCTCTCGCTCTCAAAACAAAACAAAACAAATCATCTTCGTGTCATACATTCTAAACTGTAAACAAACCAATAAAAAGATGGATCAGAAACCAGAGGAGTCTGCCAGTTGTGAAAATAATATCGCAGTTTGGTTGTAAAATAAGTTACAAAAACAAAAGGAAAAAACCCATTGAAATAGAAATCTTTGCGTACAGTACTAAAAATCCTAAACTAGACCTTTCGAACTTAAGAACCACATGTTAAGTCTATAAATATCTTTACAAATATACACGTTAATTACTCAAATAAACCTTTTCTGATTAAGTGTTTTACACGTTCATGACAGTGTCTCCTAGATTGCAAAGTTTCCAATCCTAAAACAATATCTTAAAAAAAATGTCATTTTTTGTCTTTTAAGTACACGGCTGTGGACAGCATTATGATACATATTTGCATTTATATATTTACAATAAATCACTTTGTAGATACATTTTTAAAAAACCCCTCATAACCTCGCTGTTCTTATTACTGAATGGCCCTGAAGCTTTGCCTCATCTTTGATGAGGAAAATTTGTTCCATGATTATCACTTTTTCTTTTTCCCAGGAAGCTAAAATGCGGATGATGGCGTACACGTTCACGAGGAAACGCTCACGTGATCCTCTCTGTTGCTGAACGTCTTCTAGTAACTCTGCGGAAGAACAAATCCTGTCATTGAGCTCACGCTGGCTTTGCTGGTATCTCGTTCATCAATTTTCTTTCAGATCGCTTTATTGCGATAAAAGGGCTCCGTGTAGTAAAAAAAAACAAACCGAAAATTGGAGGACCCCCACCCACTGGATCACCAACAAGTCACTCATCAATGCCCTTCATTTCCTCCTCCTAAATCCAGTCTCAGGAGGTTTAATCCCAGTAGGCACGGAATGGTTTCACCCCACAGATTGTCTGTAACAAAAGACTGGCCCGAGTACAAAAATATAATTTCATTTCTGAAAAGAAGAACACAAACATGGTTCAACGGCAAGAAAAAAAAAATCCTTCAATGTTTAAAGAGAGTTCTTGGGGATGAGGAGAAAAAGAAAACACGAAACAGAGCTTTGTCCGAGAGTTTAAGACAAATCAAAAAGAGCTGAAGCACTGTGGAAGTATTGCATGCTGAGTTTTCTTTTTTTTCTTTTTTGTCCCTCTCCGTATCTTGAGGTGCTTGAGTCAGTGAGCGGTGATATTTCTGTCACAAACTGTGAGAAGAGGTTAATGTCCGACCTCCTCCGGCACAGGTTTTATGTCCTAATCACCCCGTTACTGGGAAGCTGTTTGGGAAGACAGGGCTCGTCAGGCAGCGGGTCGTGGGCGAACACGGAGTCGTCCCCTGAGGAGCAGGTGCTGTTGGAGTCCTGACAGGTGGGCGAGTACTGCTCGAAGGGCACCGACAGGTCCAGGTACTCCTGTCAGAGGAGAGGTCAGAGGTTAGACTCTGGTGTCACAGTCAAACTTTTTCACTTTTTGGTGGTCAGATGATTGGAAAAAAGTTT